AGAAATAAGTGTATTAGAAAAGGGACTAAATTTCAATGTAGCGGTTGACAAGCTGAAACCTGAGGATGTCATCCCTAAAATAGAAATGGCACTAAGTGGGACAGACAAAACAACGGCTGATGAAGTACGGGCACAATGTGCACTTACATTAAAACGACAAAAATGTGGAAAGCCTAACCTGACAAAACCAGAGACAGAAGCCCTAAAACACCTTAGGAATAACAAGGATATAATAATCACAAAGTCAGACAAAGGAAATGCAACAGTAACATTAGACAAATCAGACTATTTGGACAAGGTGAATACTCACATACAAATAGGACCATATGAGGAAATTAATAAATCAATAGACACAGTTATGAATAAGGTTAAGAAATCCACAGCGGACCTTATACGCCGAATGAAGCCGTTTCTAGGTGGGTCTAAGTGGTTTAATTTAATGCCCAAAACTAATAACCACAGTAGGATGTATGGTGTTGTTAAAGTTCATAAGTCAGCATACCCTATCAGACCTATAGTTGATCTTAGAAATGCACCTACTTATGAATTATCTAAATATTTAGCCATGGTATTTAATCCCCTTAAAAGCCACTCGAAATCTAGACTAACAAATTCTTATGAACTAAAACATAGATTAGATAATTTAAAATTAGATAATGAAGAGAAAATGGTTAGTTTTGACATTGTCAGTTTATATACACGTATACCAATAAATATGGCTATAGAGGCAGTCAGAAACGAACTCATTTCTGACCAAGAACTCGAACTTAGGAGGAAAGTGCCACTTGAGGACATAATGCTGGGAGTGCAGCTGTGCCTGACTTCCACAGTATTTAAATTCCAAGGGAAAATATACAAACAAACTGAGGGAGTTGCCATGGGATCACCAATATCCCCGGTTGTAGCAGATATATTCATGGATAGGTGGGAAAACATAGCGATTTAAACGTTCAGCACCACCCCAAAAGTGTGGTGGAGGTATGTAGATGACACATTCACTGAACTTAGAACACAAGATATAGATAGATTTTTCGAACACATAAACTCAAAGGTGGAGGCAGTTCAATTCACTTATGAATTGGAAATCAGGAAGGGGAACTGCAATGTTAGACTGCATGTAAAAAAGAAAGAGATGGAAATAAACACTAGTGTTTACAGGAAACCCATACATTCAAACAGATATTTGGACATCTAGCAAAGCCGAAAGAAGCCTTCCAAAAAGGGTATGTTTTCATATATTCTGCACTGTCGAGGCCTTAGCGATTCGAATGAAACACCCTGATTTATACTCACAGACGACACTTCGTCATCCCATTTTTAACTTTGAATATAATTCTAAGCTCAACTCTTATCGATATTTTGCCATTAATACTTTTTTGCTGGTTTTAGTATGACATTTGTTGACGTCATGTTACTAAACCTTTACTTCACTCATTTCACCTACTGCATAAATTATTTTGATACTTGTATCCATCCATCTTTTTGAACGTTTTTCATATTATGCAACTTTGGTGTAAGCATACTAATCTTCCCACCCCCCACCACCACCCTAGCTGCAATTTGACTATTCATCATTGTTTTGAAATATTTTGATGGCGTAAACAATAATTGTTCCCTTGGGTTCCTAGTGGAACATAGGGCTTCAACTACACGTCTCCACTTGCTTCTGTCTTCTGCTGTACTTTTCACCTGCATCCATGTTAATCCATACTGTTTCAACTCCTCTTCACACGATCTCCTCCATGTCACCCTTGGACGTCCCACTCTCCGCTTCCCTTTCGGGTTCCACTCGAGCTATGGCCTGACGCGCGATGTCACCCAACGGCCTCCTCAGCAAGTGTCCAATCCATCTCCACTTTCTCCTGCATATTTGTTGGGCGATTGGTTCTTGTTTTGTTTGTTCCCATAGTTTCTTGTTGGTGATTCTTTCCGGCCATCTGATCTTCAGTATAGAGCTAAGACAGTTGTTGATAAAGGTCTGCAACAGGCTGTTGGAAATATTCTTTGTGACCCGCCGCCAAGTTTCTGATCCATCCGTATAGAAGAACTGACTGACTTGACGTTTGTATTGAAAATCCGAATTTTGTTGTTGATGATGAGGAGTGACGAAGATTTCCAGATTGGTTTCAGGTTGATGAATGTGTTTCTCGCCTTCCCGATTCTCGATTTGACATCCTCGTCCGTTCCTCCTGTAGTTGAGACAATGCTCCCTAGATAAGTGAATGAAGTAACCTCTTTCAAATCCCTCCCGTTGATGGTGATTGGCGCTGGATGTTGCTGCTGTTGTTGTTGTTGTTGGTTGGTTGGTTATTTTCATAACCTCCGTCTTGTCTATGTTCACCTGGAGTCCTGTCTTTGCTGCTTCTTCGACCAGTTTGTCGGTTTTCGCTTGTAAGTCTTCGATTTTATGTGACATCAAACATAAATCATCCGCGAAATCTAGGTTCTTCACGTCGGTCCAGGATATCCCTGTCTTCTCGTTTCCCACTGTCTGACGCATAATCCAGTCCACCACAATTAGGAATATCATTGGTGATAATAAGCACCCTTGTCTGACTCCTGTGTTTACTCCAAACGCCTCGCTGAGTTTTCCGTTGTGGATCACTTGACATGTGCCGTTGTCGTACAGCTGTTGAATAAGGTTGATGAATATTTGGGGTACGCCGTAGTAGGTTTGGCGTAAACAATAGTCAATACCAATTTTTATCCTTGTGCTATGCACACACACACTCGCAGAAATAATTACTCGTAATGGTGATTGTGAGTGAATTCTCTGAAAAGAGACTCTTTACTGAAGTGTTTGTTGTTATTTCCATGTCTGGATGGGTATATTTCGTGAACTTCCACGCAACAACAGGACTGATATGTTAAGTACATTTGTTAAATGTTATTACACCGGATAAAGAGATGATTAATAAGATACGAATAAAGTGAATTCTAAATCATAACTGAAAGTCGCTTCATTTTTTCTTTTATTGGTACTTCAGCTGAAAATAAAAACAAACTGTCGATACTGTCAAATGAATTACAGGGCTATGCCGTGCAGCTATGTTGCGTGAACGCAACAATTAAAAACAAACAAAAAAAATTACCAAAACCTTCAGTTATCTGTAGTGATACATAATTAGAGTAATATTATGGATGGTGACTAGCAGTAGAGGAATGCAGGATGTGCATTTCATCCTATTTGTGACTCCTCATCTGGATTCACTTGCACTTCGCAAAAGACTGATGGCGCTTCCACTGAACCCCGAACCCGGTAGCCGTCAAAGCGGTTTGCACTAGACCAATTCGGCCACGGCAGCAGGCACACTCAGATGCCGAGCCCCAGATGCAACGAAACACACGTTGTCCTGGACTCTACCATTGCTAATCACCATCCACTGAGATTACTTCAAGCTAATCCACAGACATCGTTGAAGCGGCCTCAACAGGGGCCAAAATGTCATCAGAGAATGAACATTTTTTATTATAGCTTGATTCCACACCGTATTTTCGGTACAGGTATGGAATTTTCAGCATGTGATATCAGTAGCCCAAATTTTGCAGACCGACCATTGATATCAGGTGTGCGTCGACAGGGGATCGAACCCCGGACGACGTGCATGGTCGGCGGAAGTCCTAACCGCTGTGCCACCGACGCACAGTCCAATCAAACAAATGAAAAAATCAAAAGTGAATTAAAAATGTAATTAGAGTGTTTAGGAAGATTTATTAAAAATTATCTGGCAACTTATTGATGAATTACAACTCAAAAGCGTGCCACCAGTGTTATATCAGTAACACAGTACTTAATGTGCTCATTTTAGGTCTTTTTCCACGGAAAATCACAAAAATTATATGCAATTCATTCAGAGAGATAAAGATTATTAGTCCTGTGAGGTCATCAATGGTAAATAAGATCAAATTTTGACTGTTTGTCACGAAATTTCACTTTTATCGGGATTCATTTCATCTCTACATGTTATAAACGTATAAGAATAATTGAAGTTATCTAGAGTTTGATCTACGCTAGTTTAAGTCAACCAGAGATCAAGTATGCGGATTACCAAATTATTGAAATGTCAGAGATTTCGTGAATCTCGATGAGCATGTCAAAATTATGCCACAGATAACAAGTTTATTTTAGACTTCTGGCCTAAAACACACATAAATATCGATACTAATGGCAACTTAAAAACTAAAAATAGGAACAGAAGTGGTAAATGTATCCTTATCAGTAGAATCGATGTGGATGCACGGTTCAGTGGCAAAATGCCAGCCAACACACACATGGTCCAGTGTTCGATTCTCGACTGACCCACTCTAAGATCTCGTTTAGCCGGTAGTAAGCAACCGCGGTTAAGAAAGAAGGTCGGGAGAGAATTCAGTAACCCTACTGTGTAAAAATACGACGGTGGTGCTATTGAAAATTCAAAACTGAAGCTTAAAGCCATGTCTTCCACTCGAAACGCAAAGGAGTGAAAATATTCGGGAGGTAAACAACATGAAAGTTGGCATTGATCAAGTCAGAAATTTTGTTTTTTCAGTAAGCATGAAACGCGTGTCACACCGTGAGAAAATCGTATTCTTATCTGAATACTCATTAAAGGTTTATGTCTTTAGGAGTAGTAGTTCAGCTAATTTGCCTTTTGAGACTCCTCAACAGAACGCACTCCCTGTCACAAATGGTCGAATCTAAGATCTTCCAGTTACGAAGAGAGCCACCAGACCATTCAGCCACTGGGATCCTTCAATCCAATTGTCCAAGAATCCCAACCTCTAGCAATTCTTGATACATATAGAGCAACCGTCAGCCGATGTCCTAGACTAGTAACTGTTCTCTTACTCGAAGAACCCTAAAAGTCTAGGACGAAACACCCGTCGTCCAGTACTCCCTGCTGGTTTTTCAATAGTTCTCTAATTAATTAATGATATCAACTTGTCATGAAATGTAACCAATCAAATCCCTACAAACCAAGATTTCATAAACAATGATACTTGTGAACTGTTCAACTTACCAATTGGTACAAACATTGATCTGGATAAAAATGGAAATGATAGAAAAAATATAGTCCGCTCGACGTCAACATCATACATTTGTCGATAAAATGACTGCATGCAAACTGAAGAGATTTGAAATGTCCAATCATCAGCAGCATAAGTGAATAGAATAGCATATACAGGACGAGATGTAAATATTTTTTGCCATGGTATTTTTGTATATCCTTGAGTGTATAATATCCGATTTGGTATAGTTGATTTTAAAAAATTCAATTCACGTTTACCTAATTTTTTATCTTTATTTGGTTTTTCATCAATTAATCTCCACCAAAATATACACCATATTAAGCCTAAATTAGCATATATATAGAAAACAACACCCCAACCCCATTTCTTTTCAATTTCAGCGCATACAGGTAAACCAATTAAAGGCCCCAGGGAAACACCAATTACAGCTAAGCATACCAGTGTTGAACGTTCATTCTCTGGACTCCAAAATCGTAATATACCAAATACAGCAGGTATTAAACACCCTTCAGCTAAACCTTGAATTAATCTTAATAGGATAATCATTACAAGTTTAGCATTGATATTGTTACCGATTGTCTCGACAAGTGGTAGAAAAAGATTCATTCCACACGTGATAGCAACTGAACCACCGAGTAGGAATGATGAATCATAATTTACAGTTAGATAACCACCAATTGGACTAGTAATTAAATAAGCAAAAAATACAGCATTTTCAACAATATCATTTTGAATTGCTTCTGTCCATGGCATTTTACGATGTTCTGATGGTTTAAATATCAATGAAGTAGAATAACGTGATATTTCATTCACTTGATGTGGATCATTATGTAATTCTTCACTATGACTTAAAGATCCCTCCATGCTTATCTCATCTTCTGGTGATATACTTAAACTGTCTAAATTTTCATCTTTTTGATGTTTGAATAATTCACCTGGTTGACTGTGTCCAATGAAACCATGTCTAAATCCAAGGGATACACGATTATTTGTATTATTTAAATTTGTAATAATTCCTAGCATTTCTGATCGCATTCCAATGACAACTGTAAGGCATGCACAGCATAAGAAAGCTATAAGATAACGTTTACGTCCTGGACCACAGAAACAGGTATTTTTTGTCGACTTCTGTCTAGTAGTCACCAGATGATTCATTTGCTCTCTGCTGAATCCAATTTCCCATTGATTACGATTTTCAATCTTGTTGGTTATACAACATTCAGAACTGTCCATTAAACCACCAACAACAAGACCCCCACCACCAGAACCAGTCAATAATTGTCCATTTGTATGAAATCTATCCTCATTGATAATAATATTAGTTGTTATGATATCTGGTAATTGTTTAATAAAGGATTTTTCATTAGGATATGAAATTAAAGGATGTTTATTAACATTGTGTATTTCTGTAGCTGTAAGATTTTTCAACTGTGGTAAACCAGTGATTGATGGAGCTCGAAATGAATCGAAAGAATTCGGTGAAGAGTTTGACGATGTATTACTGTGAATATTATCATTGTTATCATTATTATCATTATTATATTATTATTGTTAGTAATAGTATGAAGGGAATTCAACGAGGACACTTCACCATCGCATGTATGCATGATTCACTTCTGATATAAATCCACAGTAGTATAGTAGTAGTAGTATATAGATGTTTTTATATTATTTTTGTAACTGATTATATAGTCTTTTAAATGATAATAATGATACTGAGGGGAATAAAATTAATATTCATAAATTTCCATTATTGCATCAAAAGTAGAGATAAATTGAGCACCGATAATTTCGCAGGTTATTATTAGTGTTATTATATTATTACTATTTTTTAATCACATAATTATTCATAAAGCGTAATAGATTTCACAATTTTTATCTATTATTACATCGCATTTCTGGACAATAACAATAATAACGATAGTAATAGTAATAATAATAATAACAGGGATATTTTTTAATATTCACAGAACCAGGAAGAGTGTAATAATATGCATTAGAAACAGAGTGATTTAAATACCCTGGGAGGGAAAGAAGAAATGCAGTCACTAGAGTGTTTTTTGTACTCACTCCATTAGTGTACATACATGTATGTATTTGTTAAATAAACGATTTGTGGGTTTTATTCCCCCATTAGTTAGAATTTTATTTATTTATTTATGTATTTTTTGTTGTTGGTGTTCGTGTTGGTGTTGTAATGTCACTTATTTATCATAGTATCAAAGTAGTTTGTATGGATATTTCATAATTGGATACATTTATATCTAATACTCAAGCGTTAATATATAAATGTATATGGAGGCTTATTGTTATTGTTATTATTATTATGATTACAAGAAGTTCTTGTAGCCTCGTCTATTTATTGGTCCGTATACAATGAATCAAGTACCGAAAAAGTGGAGTATTAAATGATTGGCCAAACATTTATAACTCACAATGCGATATATGCTCTTGATCGGTGGATAGACAAACACATTTTGGATGTGCTGTCTGTCTGTCAGTCTATCTCACTAAGCATTTGTGTTTATCCAATCAACTTGTCTGTTTGTCTGTCTATTTGTTTGTTCGTTTCTTTTTTTTTCTTTTTTTTCTCTGAGGAAATGTTTTCTTCTTCTGTTAAAAGATAATCTTGGTCTGAATGTCTAAAGTAGGTGTTTTAGCTTCGATAGAGAGAGAACACAATAATGTGTGTTCCCATAGGACTCTAACTACTGCTTTCAACTTATGATTAAAACTGTAAACATTAATGTGCATTTAACATTCTTTTTTTTTTTGGTTTTTCAAGACGAATATACCCATTGAGTCCTGAAGAAAATTTTCTTTATCAAGGGAATCATCTTCAGAAACTGTAAATTTGCATTCATATTTATCGAAATCGTATAGTAGTCCATTATTAAGTAATCGGGGGAGGGGTTGACATAATTGATATAAAGACTCAAAAGTGGATTCAAAAGTAAAATTTTAAAAAATTACGTACCACTCAACAGTACAAAGGAAGAAGAAAGGATTAGAAATTTAAGTGAGAAGAAAGGCAGTTGAGTGTCTACTTAAAAAGTGTGAAAAGGGTGAGAAAATGTAAGAAAAAAGAATATGTGAGAGTGATTATAATGAATTAATCATTAAAAATAAAAAATTCACATCAAACGACTAATGCAGAGGTTGAGACCATGGTAGAGTTCGAAGTTGTATTCACGAATCGCCAGCGCCTCCGCCATGCGCGCCATATTGTGTCAATCCATGGCCTAAGTTTACAAAGTGCTGGAGAAGTGATGCGGTAACTGTTTTACACTGTCCTCTTGCAAACCATGACAGTAAAGGTTCAGAGATGCCTTCGGAGAGTGTCCGTTTTGTATGGCCAGTATAACTAACTAAACAGAAACAAGTTAATTTATAAACACACACAGTGAAGTGGTTAAAAGTAGCAGTTTATCCTTCACACATCCATTAATCATTTGTTGACTGTAAAAACTGATGCATAACTCAACCGAAAAGAAGGCTTTTCTCAGTGATCTGAATAAGCACTTCTTCAGAAACTCAGCTGCAGTATCACCAATAAATTCAACGTTCATAAACAGCAGTTTCTTCAGCAACCTTATTCATTTGAAAAATAATATCGATAAAGAAAGGAAAACGAAGTCTGCAGTTAGTTGCAGTATAAAACAATATCATCATTCTATTTCACAGGTTCTCACCAGCTGCACACTACCTGAAATTACAATGGTTATATAGATGATAATAACATACTTTAATGTTTAAGTAGTGGTAGAGAAGAAATACTATAAAATTGACGCATCCAAAATGTAAGCATTACACATTTAGTTTAAGATTTCACCATCAATTTATACGCTTTCGAAGTAGAAAAGAGGGAGGGAGGGGTAAGACAGAAACAATAACAGACAGTGTTAGCTTGTAGGTTGTTCACATAGCAACTCGAAAAAGAAAAACAAAAGCGGTTACAGTTTGTAAGATTGAGATTTGCTCAGTGAGTTGAGATCACTGAATTAGATGACTAATTAATGTAATCAAAATCAATATTCAGTGAACATAAGTCTGGTTTGAATCGTTTGATTGCGATCGCTTCGGCAAATCGTAGTAAATTTGCTGTCCTATGTCTCTTAAATATTTTGAAGGACTTAAAAATCTCTACGAGATGACCAGTGTCAACAATATGTCTGGTAATCCCATTCTGAGAATATTTGCTTCCTTTCAGGCACAGGTTTCTTGAAATATGTTCAGAAAACCGGATAGAAGCCCTTCTTTCCGTCCTTCCAGTGTGCTTGCTCCCGCAAGTGCACGTAAATTCATAAACACAGTTGGAGGTGACATCAGCGGGGTATTTACCAGTTTTGAGTGGCTTATAGAAAAAGTGGTGCTGTATAATGTTATGAGTTTAGCTGCCGAGAAGCTGAATATTGATTTTGATTACATTAATTAGTCATCTAATCCAGTGATCTCAACTCACTGAGCAAATCTCAATCTTATAAACTGTAACCGCTTTTGTTTTTCTTTTTTGAGTTGCTATGTGAACAACCTACAAGCTAACACTGTCTGTTAATGTTTCTGTCTTACCCCTACCTCCCTCTTTTCTACTTCGAAAGCGTATAAATTGATGGTGAAATCTTAAACTAAAATGTGTAATCAATATAATAAAGGTTTTTGTTTTCCCAATGAATGAAAAACAAAACGATATTGTTTTTACTGACGTTTCGCTATTTAATGCTAATAGCTTTATCGAAGTATTATTAAACCAGAATTTACAAAATCTCAGCATATATATAACAACTTAATCATCGTTCCTCAGTATTGGGTCATTTTTCGTGGTCAAATTGGCCAATTGGTAAAGATTAAAAAAACCAAGTGTAGATTGTTGGATTTGATAAGTGTGTAAAATTATAAAAACAGCGCGTGTTTACATAGTGAACTTGCATATCACATTCGTGTTGATTTTGTCACTTCATGGGGGTAAGATTCTGTTTTAGTCCATCACTCCTGTTCAGGCAATTTGGATTCCATTTGATATGAAGTACTTCTGATATTAGACGTTATTTTGTATTATATTTCAAAATCAATTTTGTGACCTGATTTATTAAGTAATTTTTCAAGTTTTTCCAGTTCATTTGGATTTCTCGGTGGTCGAAGAGATGCTCTAGGGTGTTCATTTCTACTGATTTTGATTTCTCGAGATTTTTGCCCGATATATATCTCATCACATTCCAAGCATTTTATTTTATAGACACAATTAGATAGGGAATCTTTAGGGAAATACACAAACCTTTATTATAATGAATATCATATACCCAATGCCCAAATTTTTTCAAACTGTTAAAATTGAACTTGGTTTGGACATATATAAAATGTGTAATGCTTACATTTTGGATGCGTCAATTTTATAGTATTTCTTCGCTACTACCACTTAAACATTAAAGTATGTTATTATCATCTATATAACCATTGTAATTTCAGGTAGTGTGCAGCTGGTGAGAACCTGTGAAATAGAATGATGATATCATTTTATACTGCAGACTTCGTCTTCCTTTCTTTATTGAAATTTATCAAGGGAACCAAATTTATGAAAAATAATATTTATTTTCAATCTATGTATGTATGTATGTATGACAGATAAGATTTCGAATCGATTCTTCTGTTTTTCCAGCAGTATTTTTCAGAAATAACTCCACCTTTTTATTGCTCAAGGAATAAAACTTCAAATTTTAAAAAAAATTACTGTTATTATTAGGAGAACGTCTAATGGTCAGTGGGTTGATGCTGACTAGAAGGGGTGGAATCCTGGAAGCTCATTTCGACCTATTTGATACTCGACCTCTGAATGTGTCTTCTGCATCCCCCAGTGAGTGTTGGTGTTCCCATTGAAACTAGAAGCCAGTACCCATCGTTTCGAATGCCAAAGGATTATCCACTAGACCAATTTGGCGATAAGAGTCACCTCTTGTGCATCATGTCCAAAATAGGACAAAATCAGCATCCTGGATTCCAGTGCTACTAACCATCAACCAATTGACTTCAAGTCATGTGACCGGACATCGTCGAAGCATCTGCACAAGGAGCCGGCATGTCAACCTGAGACCAAGCTCTTCGGTCCAATCAGTCAACGATGAAAGAAATCTAAACTGAATTTTAAAAAATCCTAATAGGTTCTGAAATTTTAGTAAGAAAAACTAAAATATTTCTTTTAGTCATCAGTCAAATCGGTCAGATATATATAAGGAAAACAGAAAAGAAAAGAGTAGCTGGAGAACATATTGTTTCAATGAAAGAAGAAACAAAAACAGCAACAACAACGAAGAGAAATGGTTTGACCTCATAGATTTAAGGTTAGCTGACTGTCAGATCGTATTAGGTTAAGTGTCATTTCTGTTTGTTTGTTTATTTGTTATGTCTTGGTGTTGTACAAATCCGTTCACGTTTGGAATAAGCATATAAACACATAAAATAGAAAACATTTATTTATTCAGTCAACCTTAAATATTTCATTCAAGACTGGTGAGTGATGAATAATGGCATGGGTAAATTTTTCTCATAGTCAACTGGAGTATGAACAGTCATCAAATTGCCAACCATCCTGTGAAACATTTCATCTCCTATCACAGTGTAACACATACTTGAAAAAAGGGGGAGGGGAAGTTATAAGATGAAGGATTAAATAAATACGCCATATTTATAGGTCGAAATGAGGCTCATTTGTTTACAATTAGACGTTCAATGTCAGGTTCATAAGTTTGAAATCAGTTCGACCTAATGAGATTTGTTGTGGTTTTGGTCTCTGAGCTAGATAGTTCAGCTGTGTGGACCTTTCGTTGTCCTTCTAGAAAACATCTTCAGCACAGGCTTTAAATATAAAGTCAATCTGAGCGAAGAATATTCTTTTCAATAATTTCTCCTCTTCAGGTTCTTACAATTATAAAATATAATATTTGTTGTCGTTACAATAATAATGGCCAGTTATGCGGTGGATACATTTTTAACTTAGAATAACAGATTAGGTATGGGGTGTCAAAATAAATAGTCGTATTTGTGTGACAAACGTCGTGCTAGGCTGAAATTGATTACAAAATATTGTAAAATGGGAGACAGTGGTGGTGATTAGTCATAATAGATTTGTAGAGTGTGGGGTAGGAAAATTGACAAGTCAGTTCAAGGTTATAAAAGGTGTCAGGTGAGTGGCTAGTACAAAGTGGTCTGTATTAAACAGGAGATGATAGTAAGACTGCAATGAGAGGTTCACAATGAAATAACGAATGTGTGAAGTGAAACAGGTGGAGGTATATATTGAGAAAACAGATAATATCACTAATA